GAGCAATTTAAATCAAAGTGTCTCTAATCTGCCAGGAGCTGCTACGCCGACCTAACGTCACCTTGTTTGTTACGTCAACAAAGCGTGAAGAAGAGAGTCCTTCTGGTTCCGGTCCTGGACCGTGGCGGCCCGCAGCAAACGCTCCAAAGTTTGGCTTTAGCTTCACTAACAAACTGCAGCAGCTGCAGTCAGGAGGTTCGGTGCGAGGGAGGAAGCGGCTCTAACGTGACGAAGCGTTTCCTTCAACACGGCGTGAATCTGAAGGAACGCTTCACCGTGTTCAACGTGTCGCGCTCTCCCAGATCCAGCTGACGCCAACAGCAGCGACGCCTCAGGTACAAAACACAGGTGAGCCGACGTTCAACTTTTATACTGCAGGGAAACCAACGATGGCTCCAGATGAGACGAGTCCCAGAGACGCCGCTCTAGGACAGAGACTCCTTTCACTTTAGAGACATGCAGGGGAGGAGGAGCGAGGAGGAAGAGGAGGACGGAGCTCTGTGGTTAAGGGGTTGGAATCAGAAGAACTGGATTCCATTAGTAGAAACAGATTCTATAAAATAGAAACGATACACAGCTCTACTTTTTTGACTGACTGACTGACTCTTTATCTTCTCTACTTTCTCCAGATGATGCAAACACAGCTCAGATATAAACTGTACTGATCTGGACAGTGCAGGACTTGTAATCAGTCTTTGCATCGTCTTATTTTACAGCAGTAAATGTTGGATGTTTCCACAGAGATTAATCCAGTCTGAACTCTGCATCCATTTCTCTCCGACCCTGTCATGCTCCACGTATTTATTTCCATTTATTTATTTCTCTATTCATTTTCTTTATAGTCAAAACGCCTTGGCAGCGCCGCTCATCTGACATCCAGACCAATAAAGCAAACTGGAGTGAAATGAGCTACGAGGGAAGAGATTTAACTAAAGATGAAGAGGGATGGAGGGAAGAGGCAGGAGAACGAGGGAGGACAGAGTCAGAGAGGGAGGGAGGGGAGTAATGTGAAGGAGGAGAAAATCTTAATTATCAAATGAGTCTGGATTTAATTAATTAATACTTAGAGACGTAACACCGGTCTCTCTTCAAAGATGGTCTCTAGATATGAACGTCCATTTTATTTAATAAACCCAAATGTGCCTCTAAGGGGTTTGAGTACAGAACACCAAGACATGCTGTTCAAAGCCCTGAAGAGAGGAAGCTAGTAAGTGGATCTTTATTTACTGATAATACTGATTCAAAGGTCAAGAATGAAATTCCCTGCTGCACGCTGTAAATATTCAGATTTAACACCAGGGCTGAACAATTAATCAAAATCACATCACTGCCTACTTCAATTGTCAAATCGCAGGAGGTGCAATATTTGTTAAAGGATATGTGCGTGTGTCAAAATACCATTTTAAATTAAATAAATATTGTCGTGCTGCAGACGTCCTGGCGTACACAACATATTCTAGAGACTTAAAGGGGCATTATGGAGTTTCCAGTGGCCAAAAACGTTGGCAACCAGGCGTGTGCTCGTACGCACTCATGACCGCTTTCATACAGAAATCCCGCAATAAACGCAGGATCACCAGCATGCAGGCTGTGGCTTTTCTCCAGACATGTTCAGGCTCTGTTACTTCAACGTTCTCGGCTCAGAGGCAGATCATCACCGGCGACTGAGAGGTGGAGAAGCTGGAGTGTACCTGAGTATCAGTAAAACCACGATAAATCTAAATTGAAAGTTACGAAGCAAAAAGCAGCACGTCCGTGCTAACGATAGCTGCCCTGTATCACTATAGGCTAGTAACATAAACAAATCGCTGCACATTTGCTTTGTTAGGTGGTGAGCTAACGCGACTCTCTCCTTGACTTTCTGGGGGGACTGTTTTTACCCGACATCATCTGAATCTTGTTTGGTCCGACAGGCTTCGTCACATAAACCTTTACTGTTGTTTTTATCCATACGTGGAGTTTATGTTGGAGTCAATGTTTTACGGTGTTAGCGGACTGCATGTCGTTAGCTGCCGTGTTGTCGCTGTAGTCTGAGAGGCTCGGGAGCGCACACAGGGCTGAATCCGACCCGGAGACCTCACATTGAAAGCAGAATGTGGCTGATGCAAGCAACGGAGAAAACAGGCGTGTGCTTCATTTCTAAGTGAGTTTTGAGCCCACTGACAATAAAGCAATGATAATTTGATAAGTAATTTCATTTCTTAAAGAAAACATCTTTGTTTGGTACTGATCCCCTCATAAATCACACCATAATGAATACTGATGTAAAAATTATTATTTCTTTTAATATCACAATTGTAATATCAGTCATCAAGTAAAAGCCTGCGCTCTGAAGAGGCCTTCACCAAACCACTGCCACAAAGGTGGCGTGCGCGCCGCATTATGGCTGCGCCACGGTTTTGACCCGTCCTCCGCCCTGAATTTCCCACATGGAGCATTTCAGAATAAGAGCGTTTTGCCTGCCTGATTTTGCTGAATTGTTTAGATTTAGTTGATTTGATAAGTTGTCCTTGATTTTTGTGCTTCTACCGTGGTTAAGAAGGCTACATAGTTAAATTGTTTATTTTTTGGTCTGTTTTAACTGTTTATTGTTGATATACAACCGGAAGTCTGTACAATGCATTTTATTTTGAAAATCGCCCGGCTGCCCGGCTCATCTGCTCTGTGCTGCTTGACGCGTCTTACATCAAAAATAGAACGGCTGCCTATTCTCCGCGTAGCGGTGCTTTTGGGACACGCTGCGGTACTTGTAGTGTGAGCACAAGCATCGACTACAATGGCAGCGATTAGCTACGGCAGCTGTGGCGCAGCCGTAAGGCGGCGCACATGCCGCCTGTGTGAGTCCGGGGTGGAGGGGGAGCAGGGCTCAAGACTGCAACCATTTTTTTTAAACAGGGCAAGTATTTTTAAAATCTACGTGTTCGGCCTGCTAATTTAACAACAATTAGTTTTGGCCATCAAGAGCACCAGTAAATTTCTGGTGGCCTGAACATAATTGTCAACTTAACTAGCGGCAGCGATAAAATAGCAAACTATTTTATACACTGAACAAAATTATAAACGCAACACTTTTGTTTTTGCCCCCATTCATCATGAGCTGAACTCAAAGATCTAAGACTTTCTCTATGTACACAAAAGGCCTGTTTCTCTCAAATATTGTTCACAAATCTGTCAAAATCTGTGTTAGTGAGCACTTCTCCTTTGCCGAGATAATCCATCCACCTCACAGGTGTGGCATATCAAGATGCTGATCAGACAGCATGAGGATTGCACAGGTGTGCCTCAGGCTGGCCACAATAAAAGGCCTCAGGCTGGCCACAATAAAAGGCCTCAGGCTGGCCACAATAAAAGGCCTTAGGCTGGCCACAATAAAAGGCCTTAGGCTGGCCACAATAAAAGGCCACTCCAAAATGTGCAGTTTCACTGTATTGGGGTGGGGGGTCCGGAAACCAGTCTGTATCTGGTGTGACCATCATTTGCCTCACGCAGTGCAAGATATCTTCTTGCGGCCTGTGGAGTGTTGGTCCACTCCTTTTTAATGGCTGTGCGAAGTAGCAGTCAGGTCGAGACCCCGATGAGGACGTCGAGCATGCAGATGAGCTTCCCTAAGTTCCTGACAGTTTGTGCAGAAATTCTTTGGTTAAGCAAACAGATTGTTGCAGCAGCTGGTCTCAGACAAACATGGAGGTGAAGATGCTGGATGTGGAGGTCCTGGGCTGGTGTGGTTACACGTGGTCTGCGGTCCGGTCGGATGTTCCGACAAATTCTCTGAAACGGTGTTCATCTGTTGCTGACAATTGACCCATAGAAGACTAAATAGGTTGATGTGCGCCCACACATTCAGGGATTTTTTGACCACAGTGGAAGCTTTGAGGATATCCAGGGACTTCATACAGCATAATGACAGACAGAGACACTTCTTTGAGAATATTTAGAGCACGAGGGAGTTTCTTTGTCAGCTATTTTTATTCTGTTAGCTGTAATATAACGGTCGCAAGTGCAAATAAACCCGGGGCGTGTGTGCTTGAACGTCAGAAAAAAAGTTAAATAAAATTTCCGTTGCCCATTTTTAAATATAATGTCTATGGCAGCCACATTCATCATGCTCAGGGACCACAGCCTATGAGAAAGCAATACACAAGCCAGTCTAAAATCAACCAGCTTGTGTCATGTGATGCAAATCAGTTGGATGCTGGTGTGCGTTTTTGTGTGCACGCATGTGTTGGGTGGTGGTATTGTGAATATTGCCTGTTGGGCCCGACAAAGTTTAAACGCGGTCCGTGACTGTATCTGCTGCACTCGATGTGGTCCACAACATGCGGGACCAAGTTTGCTGAGGCAGCTGGCACCGCACAGCTCAAACACAAGATAATGAAGCACAACAGCAGCTTATAACATAAAATCTGCCGCGACAGAAATGAAACGGCATCGCAACACTGCAAATTTCCCCTACGCGGGATTAAGAAAGGTTTATCTTAAATTATGTGCATTTGTTAAGCACTTTTATTAAAATGTGACTGTGAACTAAAGCATTTTTCAGTATTACTGTTAAAATGGGGAAATTTGTGTTTCAAGTCCATTTAAGATGTGCGCCCTGCAGTTTCAGTTAGAGGCTACAGTGCTCCTTGTCAAAAAGGTTATTACTGTGTGTGGCATTAAGATTCCCTACAAAGGAGAAAAACAGACTACAGCTGCAACTCTCGGTCCATAAATTAGTGTTATTTTGCAGTTTCTGCTTCCAGCCTCTCAAATGTCAGGATTTTAGGCTTTTCTTTGTCATATTTGATAGTAAACCGAATATTTTTGACTGTGGGTTGAATAAAACAAGCTATTTTAATAGATCATCTTAGGCAGTGGGATATTTCTCTATCTTATAAAAACGATTCATTGGTTAACTGAGAAATGAATCGCCAGATGAATCAATGAGACCTGTAACAGACCCGGACCAAAAGACGCTGAAGGATGTGGACAGAGGGACCCATATACTGTATATGTGTTACCTTTGGCACAGGCAGCGGCGCGCTGAGAGACACCCGGCTGCCGTCCTCCCTCCTCTCTGCTCCGTCCACCTGAACACAAACAGAGCTCAGGTCAGAATCAATGAAGCTGCAAGAAAAAGATCACGCTTAAGGGTCCGTGTCCATCAAAGTTTTTTTTTTTTTTACCAGCTGAAAACGCCAGCTGCTGTTCTACAATGTCTAGCTGGGAGCGCTAAGGTGCGCTTTGGAGGCGCTGTGGTTGCTATGATACATAATTTCCATGGAGGTGATGTGCTGCAGGTAGGCTACTAATTTCGCCGAGTAAAAATGTCACCACAAAGCACTGAAACATGAGAGCACAGACTGTCCGTACGCGGGTTCATGAGATTTTGCGGGCGAGGAAACATCGTTTCATTCAAGATCGGATACGCTCGGTGTGGTGTCCTGTCCCGCCCCTCCTGCACTGTGATTGGACGGCTGGGTAAAAAGTCACAGTGATGAGCGCAGCGTTTTTCCCCCAAAGTTGAACATTTTTCAACTCTCGGCGAGCGGAAAAGGCGCCTCGTCACGCTGCTGCTGCTGTTTTCACCGTGTTGTAAAAACGCGGCGCTCCCATTGCAATGACTTGAAAAGAAGACGCTTTGGTGGACACGGGCCATAAGTTTGTAATTAGAAACTAGAAGGTGTGAATGCTCCACCAGAGGCTTGCGGATGCCGAGGCGGACCGTGCCAGGCGGGGCAGACTTCAGGACCTCCACCGCCTGGGCCAAGGTGAGCTGGTCCAACAGGGTCTGGTTGACAGAAACCAGCTGGTCTCCAGGAAGTAAACCGCCGTGACGCTCGGCTGAACTGCCAGAAACCACAGACCGGATCACCATCACGCACCGACCGGTATCCAGCGGGTCCTGGAGAGAGAGAGAGATAAAGAATCTTTTCATCGTTTGCTTTGAGGGGTTTGTACCTGGAAAACCCTTGAGCAGAAAACTCTCATAAACGAGGTATGAATTACGGGGGGATCTGACCCCTTTAATTGACGTGGACGCTCCAAAAGAGGCAAAAACAACAGCTGAGGGAGTCTCTTACCTGTAATTATAAATATTACAAAGTATTTCCCATATTTATGCCTCCTGACTCTTGAAATGCGGTTTCAGACAGCTGCCTGTCATTTCCAGTGCTGGCTTGGCGTTTCATCACCACTATAAATGTCATATTTTATCTAATAGTTAAGACATGAGCTGTGAAATTGAGGATTCATTATTGTAGAAATATTATTTTGACATCAATATAGAGCTTATCATTTAATTTGAAGTCTTTTATGAGTCTTTTTTCAGGAGTTTTACCTGTCCAGGTCACTGAAAAAGCTTATTTTATTTCTAATGTGTGACTACACATTACATTTATTCACAGTTGACATGAGCAAGAGCAAAGGAAATATTCAACACTTTTTTGGTGCTGGCAGTTTTGCTCTAGAATACTTTTCCACCCCAGACTCCAGGAGCTGTGGTATGGGGCACCCTGAACAGGTGTAAGAAATCATCTATAGACTGCACACACTACATTAACAAGCAAGGATAGTATAAGACGTTAGTTCACTGAGCTGGACTGGGTTTCCTTTACAACAAGGAAAAAACTGGACACCCCTGACTGTCACTGTACACTTTACACTCTGCTGCAAACTTGCCAACAGCGAGTTGCTATTTCTTACATTTCGATTTGCTTGAGAACAGAACGTGCTTCGAGCTTTAAGGCCGGATGCAACATGTGGCCTTTTAGTAGATAACGTTTTTAAGACGCGTGACTGATGAAATGCATCGTGATCCGCTGAAATACCAGTGAGGGGAGGCAAATTGCATTATGGGATTTGTATTTTAAAATGTTTTTAGCCTCTGTGTGGACCGCAGGTGATAATGGCTGATAACGGTACAACATGTATGCCGATTACAGCAGTTACTCTGAAACAGATTAGAAGATTCAGTCCCAGATTATGACGCGACTGCTGACCCGCTAGCCAACGGTCCGTGGGTGAGAGACGAGGTGTTCATGGAAGAGGAGGAGGATTTCGGCGAGTTTGCCGGGTGTGACGGAGACAAACTTAAATGCAGAACAAAGCAGGAGTGAAAGAAATGAAAACCTTCTCTGGGCCGTGTGTCACCCTGTGAGCTTTCTTTCTTCAGCTGCAAGCGAGCAGAGACTACTGGCAAAAAATAATATATAAGCTCTCAAATGGTTTTAATGTTATGTTTCTATCTGCTACAGGCGCTGAGAAATAAAGTTTTTCAGAAACCCCCCCTCAGGTTTTAGGAGGTTGTTTTCCAACAGGGCCTCAGGTTTTAAAATGCTTTTCTACAGGGCGCCGCAGGTCGGAACGGACCAATGTAGGTTTTCCCTCATTTTAAAAGATGGAGATGAACAAACCTCGCAGAGCCCTGAAGCTAAACCACAAGCTAAAGACCCGTGAGGTGAAGGGTCCTGCAAGAAACTGGACCAAAGAACTCAAAAGACTCCATCTCTGCCTTCGAGCTGCTCAGAGCGTGACACAGGTGTGATACAGAAAGCTCCCTGTTTCTGGCCCAACACGGGTCAGACAGACAGAGAGGGGGGAGATCATTGGCTCCCAGCAAAGAGAGAGGGAGGCAAAGCAGCAGAGAGACAGGCAGGGGGAGACAGAGACCGGAGAACCGACGGGAAAACCATCTGCACAAACACACAACAACACACAAACATGCAGAGGGGAGGTCGACGCGGGAGGAGGACGCACTTCCTCAACTTCCATCTTTACACAGTGAGCTTCTTTTGTCCACAACCCAAATATGTTCTGTCACAGAGGAGCAACGACACCAGATAATATTCACAATTAAGGAGCTAGAATCTTGACTCAAAGCGATTAATTTAACAGTTGAGAGTTAACTGATTAATCCACTAATAGCTCTACAGTGAGATAGGAGATGGTGCAGAGTTTCATGGCTTTGCAACAAGGGCTGGAAAAAGCAGAGGTGGGAGTGAGAATCCAGTCCCAGGTCGTTCTGATGACCTCCCCCCAGTTTCACATCAGAATCAGTTGAAAGACAGCGCTCACAAAAAGTGGAGTTCAACAAAAACTGTTGCAGTCTTTGTACAACTTAAAAACCTTAATGATGTTTGACTGCGGAGCTAGACTCTCAGCACAGTGGGGGCGGGGCTTCATCACGTGGCCCACCTGCTACAAAGTCATTTGGACCGAGTTTACATGACCCCGGACTCGCTCCGAAAGTCCATCTGCGGCTGCCGGAGCCGATCGCAGCCACTCCAGTAAATGTTTGTGCTCTCACCAGAAGCGTCTCGCCGCTCCTCTCTGGAGAGAACAAGCAGCCATTATCAAAATAAAACACCCTGCGCAGGGACGAAAGCGGGTCACAGAGAGCCGTGAAGAAGGGAGTAGAAGCACAAAAGAGACATATTAAAAACAAGTCATTAACGTGGGGCAGGAAAAAGCAGATCACATCACAAACTTGGAAGACTTTACTGATGCCGTATGCCTCTTCCACGGCCGCTCCGACCACAGAACAAACACGCCATAAAAAAAATAAAAAAAACTTTAGGTCAGTGACGGAAGAGGCTTATATCAATCTAGAAAAAAATCCCTCAGTGGTGTTTCAAAAACAAAACGTGACTTCTCTTGATTTAGAAAAATGTAGTCAGAGTCAAGTCTCAAGTTTTTTTTTTGTTTTTTTAAAATCGGTGTTAGTCAAGTAAGTCTGAAGTCATGTAAAGAGACATTTTCATGCTCCACCAGAGAAACTGGTGGAGCATGAAACAGCAGCTGGAGGTCGATGTGAACGTTCAGATTTAAATCATGACAGATCTTCTAACCAGTTCTCAGTAGTTAAAGAAATATCCAGTCTCACAACGCGCTCACAACGCGCTCAACTTTCAGGCCACGGACCGTCTGAAATCTTCACATGTTGCCGTCACTCTTTACTTTCATCTGTCGGATGCTGTTTGCTCTGCAAAGCAGAAAATACCCACAAACTAACCGAGCAGCTGTAGGCACTGGGGTAAATGTTACAGGTAAAGGTATTTTGTCCTCTGCGTTTAACCCTCCCTCAAGGGAGCCGCGAGGCACCAGCTCCAGATCTGTACCAGTGGCACTGACTGGAGAAGCGAACATGTTTTTGATGGCGGAGGAAACCCACGCAGACACAGGAAGAACATGCAAACTCCACACAGAAGGGCCTGGGTCGACCAGGGTTCGAACGTTCGTCTCTGTCCAAGGATGGATTTTGGCGACTGTGAGATGAAGCTGAAAGCTCCAAATGGCGAATAAGTGGACCTTTGAGTTTACATTACTATTCCCACGTCCTTTATAGAGCAACTTGACACACTGATGATCTTTCACCCCAAGAGGAAAAATTTAACAAGAGAGAAACCAGCTCTGCTCCAGGACAAGAAGGAGACTAGTTTCTCTCACTTCTTGAAATTTTGTGTTTAAATCATGGGGAAGATGGAGACAAACGTCTGTCAAACGTCTTCCAACATTTTAATATGTTTTGCCAGCAAAAAAAAAAAAACACTGCTCAATTTATAGTAAAGTAAATATTTGTCATTGATATATCCATTTAATTACATTCTTACATCTAGAAATGGCAGATTTGTTCCTGTTCAGCTGACCTGCTGTGAACCAGCTCTGCATTTATCAGTAATTAGAAGCACATCAATTGTTCACTTTTTCTATTTCACCTGTTATTAATGAACAATACGAGTTCTCTCCTTGAAACCTCTGAGGAAATTATTAGGAATTATCCATCATAAGTATATGGAGCATCAGTGGTTTCAGCTTTTCTAAAATGTTTTGAACTTTAAAACAAGTTTTAAAATAGAAGCCCGGAGGTAATTAATTACCCCCTAACTTTATCCAGCTCTGACTGGACTCGGCACCAGCACGTCATGTCGGCGCCGTCTGTTTAACCAGAGAAACCAGAAGAAGGACGGCCCGGTACCTGCTACAATCCAAACACCGCAGAGGTTCATATACCAACTACAAAATCCTCTTCTGGTTAGAGCGGATGTATATTTTGTGAATTCCCCCGTGTTGAACCCTGGGCATCGCCCGCGCTGCAGAACGAGCTGCTGTGCCAAGTTTCAGGCTGCCAGAACAAAGCCACGCTGTATTTTTAGACTGAACAACATGGCTACAGGTGGTGAGGAGTCAGAACTCAAGTCCTCCACTCCTACAGGATCCTCCGGAAAAAGAAAGGCCTCTGCTGTCAAAAGTGGAGATATCAGAAACGTAGAGAAAAAAAAAAAAAACAAAAAAGAAAAGATAAAGAAATTAAAAACGTACTTTGCCAGAAGTAGTGAAATGTTTCCACGGTTGGCTTCTCATGCGCAGATAACAACGGAGGGTTTTTAGTTTTGGGTATGGAGGTTGCAAAGTGTCTACACAAACTTTTTAAGACCTTTATGATTCCAGTTAGAACGAAACTCTGGCTTCAGATTTTTATTTTAAACTTGAGACCTTTCAGGGTCTCTGAGGTTCGATAAAATGAACAAAAAACCTTCCATACTTTTTTCCACTTTCTGAATACAAACAGTCCTGGTATTATTCCACCGAATTCTCATCTTAATGCTCCAGCTATCAATATTATTTGTGTTGTTTCTCTGCTTCATCGAGACACCAGCGCACGCTGTGATAGTAATCAAGTCACTCTCGCGCTGTGTGTCGTGACAACGTAACCGAGTTTTGCAACGGCCTTGCTGTTTGGGACTGTGAGCGGCACTTGATCAGAGCTGCTGAAGTTAACATGTGTGATGAGACATCACAACTGTTTTCAGTTAGTTTTAATTTCTAACTTCTTTTCCTCATACTAACATACAGTCACAACTGTGTGAAGGGGAAACAGCAGAATCAGACACGTCTATTGAAGAGTATTTGATTCTTGTGTAATGTTGGTTTTAAAAGCTCTCTATAAATAAAGATTATATCATCATCATCATCATCATCAGTAGTGCAATGATGCAGGCTAATCCCCCCCCACACAGTTCAGGAAATATCCACTTGTCCTCTTGCGACTCAGTTTTGCTGTGATTCACTGTAACTTACACTGCTGTTCAAACTGGTCTTCAGTGAATTTAAAAAGATACGTTACTTTTTGTAAGATCAATAGGTTTGAATGTGGAGTACTTTTTACTTTTGATACTTAAGTACTTTTAAAACCAGGTACTTTTTTACTACTTCTTTACTTCAGTAATATATCTCTACTTGTACTTGAGTAGGAAAACTGAGTGGTTTTTATACCACTGACTCGCACAGCAGCCCGAGAAAAATAGCGAGAGAGAGAGTTTTCACTGATGCAACTTTTCCTGCATCCTTGTAAAATGGTTTTGTCCTGTTGTGTGTCTGTCTGCTTTGTTGTTTAGTTGGGTGACTTTCCTACTTTAGCTGACAAACTGGTTTCAGTGCCTTGCTCAGGACGGGGATCAAACCACCAACCCAGGCTTGGGTCAGTGGATGATTTGCTTTATCTGTATATTTTCAAAAATGTATTTAAAAGTCCGATTGTTATTTTGAGGATATATGATACACAGTGGACTGGACATCAGTGCCATAGCCCTCCACTTTGATGGAAGTGGTATCGTTAAAGGTGCCGTAGAATGGGAAACTGTATTTACCTTGTTAAGTTGAATAAAGAGTTCAATACATGAAACTGACAAACCGTGAGTCTCAATCTCCATTGGTCCCTCATTGCTTCTTATTTATAAATCTTGCGCATACAAAAGACACTAGAAAAACGGGCGAACACCAACAAGCGCTAGATGTGACGTAACATCTGGGCTCATTAATGTTTACGCCCCCAAAAGTTACACAGACCAGCCACGTTCCAGAGAAGCGGTCAATTTAACGGAGCTGGAGGTTGTTCAGTGTGAGCAACCGTTTTACGGTTTTCCCTCCGACGTCCTCCGGCTGCTCGGCCTCAACTCAGTCATTTATGAGGTTTCCTGATGGACAGATAGCTTTACTCGTTGCTATCGCTACAGTAACTGCTAGCTGCTGCTAATGGTAGCTGCTGTTATCAGCTGGCTCTGAACCAGCAGTCCAAAGCTTCTGTACTAATGTAAACACCAACACACCTCCGAAGCGCCATGCTTCCGGTATTCCAGCAGAATCAGCAATAGGACGGCTAGCTGCATGGCTAACTCAGTAGCTACCAGCAGCAGTTAGCAGTAGTTAGCGGATAAAGTAATGACATACAATAGGTGACCAGACGTCCCCGTTCTCCGGGAACACTCCCCGGTTTTGGTGGCCGGTCCCCGTATGAAAATGTCCCCGTTTTTAACTTAATCATAGACTGTATGAGGTGTTAACAGACTTGAAATCAGATTTTACGGGGCCAGAAAGACTGGACAGCAGAGCACACAGGTGTTGATTGCTGTCCGCGAGAGCGCGCAGAATGTTAAAGCTGCATCGCTTTAATGTTACGTCTGCAGCTGCTTTTTATCTGGATCAAACAGACATAAACGTGCAAAGAAACGTCACTTTATGTCTGTGATACTTTTTGTGTTACCACGAAGACAAACCTTTTTTTAACGGAATAACAGAATTGTGGCGAAATAATTGTTTGCAATTATAGCGTAACCAGGGGACATTTACGTGTGTGTTTGTTGCATGTCTAATGTCCTTCTTTATATTTGGAAAATGGAATGTAGACTATAATTAACAGGACTTACTGCTGATTATATATAAAGACATCGCAAAAGAATTTCTTTTGCAATTATCTTTAGGACTCTTTAATTTGACGTGTACCATCCAATCAATTACTTTATACCTGTTGAAAATACCTTTAAATGGCCAGCCAACCCATGTAATGCAGTATTTCACTTGCCAGAAAGTGATTTCAGCCTCTATTTATTGACTGAAAGCTAGTTTCTGCCTCAAAATGACTTAATATTCAGAAGTTATATTTGACAGATTATAAAACTGAAATTGTCCCCCTTTTTTATTTCATATATAACAACATTATATTTTTTGATGACATACTGACCACCAAACCAAAAATGTCCCTGGTTTTCATTTGAGAAATCTGGTCACCTTAACATACAAACGCCGTAAACAGGCCTCGATTCAGCGCTGTGCAGCCCGGCTCCGCCCCTCTGCATTGTCTGCAGACATAGTTGCCTTGGATGGCATTGCCTTGGCCTCCAGCACCACCGTCAGGAATCTGGGAGTTATTTTTGATCAAGACCTTAACTCAAACATAAAGCAAACCACAAGGACTGCCTATTTTCACCATCGCAATATTGTGAAAATTAGAAACCTTCTGCGTCGAGATGATGCAGAGAAACTTGTCCACGCATTTGTTACCTCAAGGCTCGACTCCTGTAACTCTGTGCTTTCAGGTTACTCTAAAAAAAATCTCTGAAGTCTCTCCAGTTAATACAAAACGCTGCTGCACGCATACTGACAAGAACCAGTAGGAGAGATCATATCACCCCTAGTAACTTTGCACGGGCTCCCGGTACAACTGAGAATTGATTTTAAAATACTCCTTCTTACATGCAAAGTCCTTCACTGCAAAAACTAAAATCTAAGTAAGATTAATTATCTTAATTGAAGGAAAAATATACTTGTCTGACAAGATATTTCTTCTTACCAGGCAGCTTTTATGTTAGAGAATTTCATTTGTTTCAAGTGTTTTTGTCCTTAAGTAGCAAGTGAAATATTCTTGTTCTATTGGCAGATACTTCTGCTTGGTTTAAGTAATATTTCCCCCAGTTTTAATGCTTTTTTTTTTGAGAGCTCACTTTTTGCAGTGTTAATGGTCAGGCACCATCCTATATGAAAGAACTCCTTTCACCATACTGCCCCACTAGAACACTGTGCTCCCAAACTGCAGGGCTACTTGCAGTGCCGAGGGTCTCTAGATGTAGAATGGGAGCCAGAGCCTTTCGCCATCACGAACCTGGCAGTGGAATCAGACCCCTGTCTGGGTTCGGGAAGCAACCAACATTTCCATATTTAAGAGTAGGCTAAAAAAGGGACGTTTTTTCTATAATTTGTGAGAAGGCTTATAGTTTGGGGATTTTATGAATTTTTATACATTTTAATGGGCTATTTTATTTTATTACTTTTATAATTGTGTATTTTATTGTTGTTTTTTTTAATGTGTTTCTTATGTGTTGTTAGCCTTTTTAATCCAATTCTCAATCAAACTTTATATGTCTGTTTTCTGTAAAATGTACTGGGACCACACAGCTGGTGATTTTACACTTTAAATAATTTGATTTGATTTTTATTTGCTGTGGGGAAAGTTGGCCAATCAAATGGGCTTTCGGCAGGGTCTTAAAGAGACAGGAGCTAAACTTATTGTTCAGACAGAGGGTGAAAAGCAGAGCTGAAGCAATGGACAGGAGAGAAAATAATGTGTTTTTTTTAAACAATAAAGCATGAGAACATGTTCTCAGTAGAAACCCTAAGTACAAATATGAACCTAAAA